TTAATTCAAAGAGCAGTGATTAAAATTCAGTCCTTTGTGGTACACAAAAGGTTAGCTAGATGATCCAACATTGCTTTCTGGTATTAACTGTATGAATATATGAGAGCAGGGTCTGGAAGATGATTATTCCCAGCCCTGGCTCAGCGACCAGCGAGGGAGCTGAGAGCTTCCTGCTGCTGGGCCAGGAGGACATTGTCCCCACCTGGGCTCTGGTAACAGAGCCTGGCCTAGCAGCAGGTGGCTCCGGTGGGCAAGCAGCAATCTTCTGCCCCCTGCTGTCTGGCTGACTGGGAGCCAATTTGCTCCTGGACAGCCGTCTATACCTGTCATACTGCACAGTAATTACTCCTGAGTAAATTTGATGAGCTTTAGTTAAAGGGTCCCCACCACCATTTTTCGGTGTGGGGATGCTGATACAGGAGATGCTGGAGTCTGCTGGAGTGTGGTAATTACCATGCTTCAGTTGACTCGATTAATTGAGTCTGCTGCAATGAACTGTAATTACAGTGAATCGGAGCATCCTCACTGCATGTATATAGGTACCCCCAATGTCTCTCTGAAAGAGTTGAACAGAAACGATGCAAGTTGATATCTTCCAGTGTGTCCTCTGTAACTCCCCAGTTCAGAGCTGCTTCCAAATGGCACAACAATGGCCATATAGTAAAGCCATCTTGATCCACACAGGTCTTTATAGGGATTCATGGCGGTCATTCCCTGCAGCACAGAGGTGTTCTTTCAACTGATGACTTACCCATTCAGATTTTGCTGAGCTCATAGATGCTGACAGACTCATAGCAGAAGGCATATGGCTGCAAGCCAACCTACAAAAAAAAAGGAAGCTATCTTTTGAAATGACTTGAATCACTTCCCCCTAAAACCTTTCCTGTCTTGCTTCAAGGCAAGATTCAAGTAAGAGAAAGATTGTTTTGAAATCTGAGTAGCAAAATTCCTAGGCCTATATATGCCCTCACATGCCCCACAATAGATCTCCAGATTTGATTCCTGCTTACAAATTAGATTTCTTTAAATAAAGTGTGCTCTCCCTTTTTTCTCTTCCTGTCCACTATCACCTTCTCCACTTCACAGTAATTCCTGTAAAAGCAAACCTGAAAATCCAGCATCTCCAGTGTTTGTCTTAATTTGACTATTTCACCTTGCCATTGTCACCTAACTTACTGAATGTGATAACAGGGAAAGGAGAAGAAAGGAGTAGTGACATTCATCCCAAACACAGAACCCTCAAACATGATGAACAAAAATGTTGAAAACTGAGCCCCTTAATCATATGTGCTTCTACACTACTCTATATGAATCTCTGAAAACCTTTAACGTAGCATCCAGGTTCTGGATGCTTTTCTAATATTTCTATAAATTCCTCCCCCAAAACCTTAATAGGCTTATGTCCCTTTCTACCAACTGTTGTTCTTTGGAGGCTCGGAGATCGTTCTTTTGCCTGGTATCTGCTTTTCTTTTTCCCACTGATAAAAATGTGACGGGTACTTTCTCCCCTCCACGACAATTAAACAATGATATTGGAGACTGACTTCCCCATTCTGGAACAGTGAGACAAAATAATACAACACTATGACCCACTGTTCTGCCTATTTAAAAGTTAAACTTCTCTGTCCTAAGCTATATGGTAGAACAGTGAGATCCACCGAATAGATACTACTTTCTAACTCTCTTCTACCACGTATTAGACTTCTGGTCTCCCTGAATGTCCCACAGACCTGTTCCTTATTTCTGAACAGGAGAACAGAATTTGAATCTCCATATTAAAACCAACATTGTATATGCATGCTTCCTTAACACTTGAAAATGTTGAAAAGTCCATCCATACTTTTTAAGTAGCAGGCCAAGACTCAGGACATTTCCATATTAATTTTGATTTTAATGAGTCCTTATGCCTTCATGATTTTAACTGAAGGGGGAAGTCAAGATGACATATTTATCAGTGTTTTAATGACCTGCCTTTCTTTGCCCTGGTGAGCTTTTTGGCTCAGGTTGCCAAGTTTTTAATGGAGGCATTTAACTCAATCTTTGTTAAAATGCCCAGAGACCTCTGGCTGAGGTCACTAAGAAATTCAAAATGATTCATTCTGATCCTGTGTGCTCTTTTTGGGAATTAAAGGGTTTTTTAAAATTATTTAATGCTGGTGGTTGGGGCAAAAATGACTTCAAGTCACATTTGGGTCCCTGGATCTTCAGAATAAGTGGTGTCCACCCTGTTCCTCTGTCCCTGAAGTAAATGAGAGTAATAAAGGATTGCAGTAGCTTCTGCCAGTTTGTGACAACCCCCCAGAAGCCACTGTCATCAGATATGACTTGCTCTATCCACATTGGTTCCTACTTTAGCATATTTATAGCATAGCCGGATCACACAGAATTCAAGAAGGTTTAATCTGGCTTGGGGATTCTACCACATTAGTTTGGATGTCAGTTTGTGCCTCTCCAACTGTGGAAACCTGCTCCTGTACATGCCAGGATCATTACATTTTTAAGATATTTCAAATATGCTAGTGAATATAGTTGCTCAAATTAATAGTAACACAGTCAGCCAAAGCATAGGCTGAAAGAGATCCTCAAAAGGGTTTGTTGAACACTTCTGAATGAGCTAATTTGTAAAAATAAATATGTTGGTAAATAGTACATAGCACATGAACAGAAAAAAATAAGTTAGATCAATGAGTCACTATGACTTTTTCACTGAGTCCAGATTTATAAGTTATAGTAGGTTTAGGGCAGCAACATTTTCAACTACAATCAGATTCCCTTCTCTACTGTTACCAGTGACATCTGCTGATCCTTTCTTCTGGTGCTACTCAAATCCCTTTAATCCCTGGAATGTGTTCCTAATTTAATTTAATTTACATATGTGTCTGTTAACTTCACTGAAAGTACCAGCCATACTCTTCTTCTGTTAATGCTCAGTTTGGATAATGTCATTTTTCTAGTGCCCGGAGAATTTGGCTTCCTGTAAGCTTTCTGAATTTGACTTTTTCCCTTTCAGTTCCACGTTAGATGTTTTTTGCTTTGCAGTTCTTTCTCTTTTATGTGTACCAAGGGATTGGTAGATGTGTGCCGCACTCTCTGGTCGGCAACATTTGATTTTAGTGAGATTTCAGTATGAAAAATAATAAATGAGTTTTTAGATTGTGTTTGAAGTGGGTGCAGGCAGGCCATGTTTTACATCTGAAGACCCATGGTCTTGCAGGAATTGAGGGAATGGAAATGAGTCATCTGTGAAGCAAATCAAATTGAATCAAACAAAATAAACCCAAATGAAACTGAATAAAATTATGACAGAGCTAACAGAGACATATCAGTGACTTTTTTTTTTGGTAATTGAGACTATTATCTATGTAACCCCTGTTCAGTTTGAGGTGGTCAGAGCTGGCTAGCACACCACCCTAGAATAAGGACTGTTGACTGGGGCACCAATATGGTTAAGGTGCTTCAGTCATACAAGGATTCAGCATGCCCCAGAGGCAGCCTTTACTTTTTAAAGCAGAAATATCTAGGAACCCAGCACCTATTTTAGGTACCGATATCCTTGATAAAGTTAACATCTGAACATACATTAACCAATTATTTTCTGTCCTGCTGTAGGCTGATCATTAGCTGCACGCTTATCTTCCCTGGTTTTACCTATGTCATGGTGTAGAGAAATACCAAAATGCCAAGTTTTGTGCCTTGTAGGTGTTTGTGAGGTTTTGAAGATGTGATTTGGGTGAATCCATGGGTCAATGGTTGCCTGTGATCTTTGGAGGCCCCTTCCAGAACTATGTCCCCATGTAGAGCAAATAAATACCTCCCCAAACTTGTTGACAAGTATACCATAAATTAACCCTGCAACCTCCTTGAGAGTCATTCTGATCCCCTTCCCCTGCCTAGTCTGCTGCTCTACTTTTTCCTCCCTGCCTTATCTGCCACTGTGCTGCTCATCTCCTCCTTGATTTACCAAGTGCCACATACATGGGCTGCCTGTGCCACTTATGGCATGCATGCCACATGTTGGCCACCCCACTGTTAGAAGATCCACAACATGTAAAACCCACTAGCCATCAGTCTTATCCATGCTGTTGTTCTGAGAGAGAGATTTTACAGGGATGTGCACCAACTTAGGGGTTGAAAACAGTCAGTGGCAGCACTCAGTACACCATAGGATTAGCCCAGCAGAAGAACATTTACTATTGCATATTCTGGATTTCAAGTATTAAAGCCTCAGTCCTATAAATCCTTACTCATATTAGAAATCTTTACTAGGTGCACTCATGAGCAAGAAATCCAGATGATAGTGGGGGCTAGACTAAATCCTTATATTATTTTATGGGAAAATACAGACATCTTTAGCCTTTATTCCAAATAATAAAATGAAGGGAAAAAGAACTTGACAATTTATAAGACAGTTACATTTGTTTAATGTAAAGGAAGATTGTAACTATTTGGATAAAAAATACTGATATTAATACAGGCATTATTCGTTGTTCCTGGAATAAAATATTGGCTGGGCAGTCTTTTGTTGTTAGATACAAACATTAATTTTGTAAAATATATATATTTTATATGGATATGTATGTGTGTGTATATATATATAAACAAAAGATTTGTGATACAAATGTATTTAACTTTATTCTGTGATTGTATTCCTCCATGTTTTACTATTCATTCCATGAGGAAAAGGTGAGATAATATAAAAATTCTCAACTATAAACCTTAAAAATAAACATAGTATAACTGCCTCTCATTCCCCTATAGCTTAATCACAAATCCACAATTTTCCTAAATTAAAAAGAAGTTAGTTTAGCTCCAACATTTAACATTGATCAGTGTATACTTATTTATCAAGAACCTCTATTCCATTAATTAGAAGAGCACCTACAAAATAATCAATATTTGACTTAAAAGGAGGCAGGCTAATGAGGGCAACATATTCCTTAATGGAAAAATCACTACAATTCAAAACATGTACATTGGCAAAAAATATTTGACATTTGAAATGAATACAGGGTTTATTTTATTGATTTCCCATGCTATTCACATGCATTCGATCTATTTATTCCATAAACAACATTCACCACAAATTACAGAAATCAAATGACAAAAATGTACAGGTACTTTTTTCTTTAATAATTACTACCAACATCAGGTTTCAGTGTGTGACAGCTGATATGACAACAAATACCCTATAGGTAAATAAATTGATGCAGAATAACATGTGCTTTTTCATTTCTTATGACTTAAAAAGAACCATGCACAAAGTGATATTAATTTAATACGAGATGCAATATAAAACAAATATTTTAGGATTTTCCCTTGCAAGGTATCTGAGAATAGGTATCTTGCAAGGTATCTTGCAAGAATTTTCCCTTGCAAGGTATTTGTCACATTTGACCCTTAATTTCTAAACTTATATCTGGCAAATTTCCCATATTTAATATAAAGTGTACTGCTTGTATTTATTAATGGTTTCAAAATATCATCTTGTAATTCTGGTGAGAACTTAGAAAACAGTGGATTTTTCCAAACCAGTTATCAAGTAAACTATTAACTTTCCAGGCCCAATTCATCAGGTCTTACTTATTCAAAATGCTTATTGATGTGCATAAGCGTTTGACTAAGTATGGACAATGGTATTAATCCCTCCCTCTTCATCCACATATATGGCATTCTGTGTTTTGTTACATCTTATCAGTCTTCTTGGGTACAGATTAGTCTTGTATAAACATCCAAGAAGTATCTGGACATTACACAGGACATCAAAGCTACTGAATCAAAATTTATGGCTGCCTGACATTTCAGCATCATCATGATGGCAGCACTACACTCCCTTGATGCAATCCATTTCACAAGAGGGTTATTTCTTTGGTCATCTTAGTTGTAAGATCAACCTGAAAAACCCATATAAGAAAAGGAAAGGGATAGTATAAGAAAAGACTACTAGAGCAGCCTAAATCTGCTCCCATTGAAATCAATGGTAAAGCTCCTGTTTATTTCAACTGGGGCAGGGTTAGGCCAATACTAAGCATTTCTTAGGACCTCCAGAATCCCTCATATAAGTAAATTATGTTTATATTTTAATATTAAATGTTTGCAGATCACTCCATCCTTTATGTACCAATTTATCTGCTAAGAGTCTCTGCATTTTCAGTTTGCCTTATAACAGCCAAGGCTACCACAACAATTTAAGGCCCCATCTTGCAATCACTTACGCACATGTTTAGCATTTAGCATAAGTAGTCCCACTGCAAAGGATGGAACTGTTCTTCTGCTTGATGTTAAGTGCATGTGGAAGTATAAGATTGGGGATTAAGACCTTAATCCTACAAAGGTTCTATGAGCAGGGAACCTAATTCCCACTGACTTCAATCATTAAAGTGTGAAACAGGAGGATTTTCATTTTACGTTGAGTGAAAATCTCACTGCAACCTTAACTGTGAAGGCCAAAGACATTCTGAATTTCACTTTTTGGATTGTTCATCAGTGAGTGAAACTGTACTGTCTCCCTCTGCTAAATCAGTGGAAAACAGGAGCAATCTCTCAACCCTGCTTCACTCTGGACTTAGTTCTGCAATGGGAAGTGTAACACTTTTAATTAGGACTATGTGTGTTTGTACATATGGATATGTATGCATATCTGCCTATTCATAGATGGATAAATTAACTAAATATGTTACTAGGATACATAAAGGAAACCACATCCACCCAAAAATCCAATATGGAAAAACTGTTAAAAGATCCCAGCATCTGAGACTTTATTCTGTGTGTAGATAAATAAGATTACAGGATACCAGACTAATATGTTGTTCTCTTCTTGCTGGCATTTTAAAATGTGTTTAAATATAAAGCAAATCTGATCTCTACAAATAATCTGGTATTCATAATTCAATTGTATACCACAGGGAAACTTGGTTATGATCTTGCTAGTGAAACTGGCACTTGGGAACTCATGCCAGCTTTTATTTTAAATTACAAAGGGTGTAAGAGGCCTCAGCTAGGGACCCCAGGCTATGATGTTAGATACAGTCACCAGGAAATTCTTTAGAGAAGCACATACAGGAAAAACTAACCCTGTTTCTTCAGTGTGCCTTATGCTGCACACATGATACATCAGATAAACTCATCAACTTGGAACCAGTATCGAAGTAGGGGATTGGTGTGTACACTCTGGGATCCAATTTTAACCTCAGTGGGGCAACATTTCATGTGCTGCCTGGTAAATTTGCCCCATTTTCCCTTTTCACACCTTTTAATAGCATATACCTAAATGTACAGACCTAAGGATCTACTCCAGCATCATACTCAACTAGTGGACTTCTATCAGTTCTGTTCCTATAACTGAGATGACTTCACTGGAGTTAGTCAGTCATCACAGCTGAGAGAAAACTGGAACCCAGTACCTTCACTAAAAGCTAACATAATTCAGTGGTAGAGAGAACATGCTGCACACACTGCAGATAGAACGGGTTGGTGGAGCAGGGTTACCTTAGGAGCCTGGTTACAAGGAAGCGTGTAAGTATTTGTGCATATTTCAAAATGATAGCTAGACCCTTGACAAAAGCAATTTAAAAAACTCCGAAAAACCTCTGTTTGTTTGTCAGAGTAAAGAGTACAGGACCAGTTGAGTTAAAAAGCTGAGACACCCAGTAATTGCAAATTATATTGGCAGTGTGTTACTACAACAATTGTGGAAAAGAAAGTAGGGAAAAAATTGTCCAACTGTAGCAGGTGCAATATGGCACAACAGCACTACTTGTGTGAGGAAAAGGCTCAGCTGTATTGGTAATTTCTTCCAAAATGTCTCCTCTCTTTGCCGTATCTCCCCATTGACTTTCATGGAAGCAGGTTCATGTCTTTGAGAAAGATTTTAGTGAAGCAAAGGAAAATATTTTTTCTCCTTTTTAAGGTTTTTTCTATTAATGTGGAAGAAAAAAAAAAACCTTTTCAAAGCTATGATTTTAAAATATTATAATCTCTTGCCAAACCTCATCAATCCGCTGGATTATAGTCTGAAAAATTCTTATTGTTTAATGAAAAATGGTACAGGCAATAAGAAGTGTTTACTAAGGTCTTTTCTGCATATTAAGATCCATATATTCTTTACGCAAAAGAGGGTTTTTTTAATGCAAAATTATGTTAGAAGGCAATACAATTCTAACAATTATAAAGGATTATAATTGTGTGGTTAATTTTACACAGGTCTGATTATTACCCTGGGAATTAAATGTATTGAACAGCCTTCTGAGCTTCCCCTTTCCTTTCACTTGCCCAGAGATTATACATCCCAGAACCTGCACAGTATGGGAAATTCTAATGTGATTATCAGAATGAGAAGCTGAGATTTCCATTTTTATTACCAATCCTTGGCTCTTAAAACATTTATCTGAATAAATTACTTTGACAGACTGGATTGAAATATGCAGGAGGAGAATTTGGTTCAAATTACTTTTAGTTATACCTGATTCTCCACTCCGTATTTAAAAGTTTCTCCAGTTACTTTCAGTTCCATATAATAGGAGCGCAGGATCTGATCTTGCATTTATTTTACGACCTGAGTAACAGTCTCTGATCTGAGGTCTGGTTATTTTATCCAGTGACTGCTAAATGTAAAATACATAAACTGGTCTGCAGGGTAGGAGGCAAGCACCCGTAATGCAATGTGGGGTGGGTAAGGGGCACCAACTTATTTGGGGTACCAAAATGGTAGCTTCCCTGGTGAGCCCATGCCAGGGTAGCAAACTGCAGCCCTCCACTGCTGCTGTTGCAGTAGCAGCCAGGTGCAAAGACCCTGTGGTGTCACTATAGTATCGATAACTGGGGTAGGCAGACTTTGCTGTGGCAGCAGGTAGGACTTCCAGAGCAGTGAAGTAAGCAAACAAACCCTGCTAATTATACCTCTGGAAAGAACTCCCCTTCCTAGGTGAGTGACGTAACTACAGGGTAATGTTCCTACTTGCTTTCTGACCCTGTGAATCTTGAACTATGCCATGCAAAGACTGAGATTCAAGGCAGAGGTGCTTATGAAGCTTTGCTAGTAAAGATTTATGTGCCTACAGTCTTTAGGCCCATAAAGGGTTAGAGAATGATTTTGAGGACTGTAGTTTTGGACTATTTGAATTGCCAAAGTTCCTTTGCTGAACTTAGTTTAAGTCCTGATGCCTTCAGGTGACTTGTATTACAGTATGCATGCAGGTATTTTCAGGATCAGAACCATAGAACAAAGATGTCATTTGAAGTTGCAGCAGTTCATTCCAGATACCATATGTCCAAGTCGTAGCAAAACAATTACATTACATTGCCTTTCCCCAAGTAACTTTTAGCCTACAAAGAAATATAGAAAGTACTCATTTAAGTGCATTTCCCAAGTGCCATTAGGAAACGCGGGGTTTATTTGGACAGCAATTTGGGTTAACACCATTCAAAGACAGGGTTCTCATTCTTTTCCCTCACAGGACCTCAAATCACCTGCAGTTCCTTATTATAGCACAATCAAATTCCACAATGCCAGTGAGTGGTGATGGCAGGTAATCTTGGGTAACATGCAGATTTTGAATAGGGATTGCTGGTGGGAACTGAGATAATGAGAGTTGCTTGATCTGTGTGTAAAGTTGGAAGGGGTTGTGCTTAGAGCTGGCGGCGTGTCACCTGCCTGGTGGTTAAGATGCTGGTACTTGGTATCTGTCAGGTTGTGGAAGATTAAGATTGAGTTTCAGAGGCTTGTAGTGGATGGGGGGAAAGCCAGTGTCACTGTCTGCTGAATGTGCCTAGTACTGGGAAAAGAAGGAAAAGGGTTAACCCAAAGCAGTCCAAGGAGGTAATAATAATAATAATAATAATAATTTTTAAAAGGCCACCCTTTGATCTATTCCTAAGATCCCACACAGAAGGCAAGGGACCCCTCATTGCCCTCCTCTCATCTGCATGTTGAGCTAGCTAAGAAGGCCTGTGCTCTCTCTTTCTTTCTCTCTCCCTCTCCTGCCTGTTTAAAAGAAAGGAAAAGAATAAAAAAAGCCTCCAGGAAATACATTCTGGCAGAAAAGCCCTGTGAGCCTCCCATATGCGATCCATATTGCCTGTCACACCCACTTTGATGTTGCTTTGTAGGCAAAGGCATGGTCCCACTTCTGACGCCAGGGTAGTCCAGTGTACAGTGGCCTTACATTGCGGATGAGGACAGCAGCACCACATTTTTTATTTTATTTTGTTAAGGAAAATATTTTTGTGTCCCAGGTCAAATTACACAGAACAGATCCAAATCCATTTGGATCATTTGGGAACCACATATGGGCCTGCTACCAGCAAGTATCCTCCAGCACTGCATACTTAAGAACAAGAAGCTGAAAGGGCGAGTGCCGGTGAAAGGAGAAAGCCCCTTGCTGTGTAGCTTCATTTATCTCCCATCCCTGCAAAAAAAAGGACATCACAGGTTGTGACAGGCAAGGTTCTTTGAGTAGATGTGATATCTTTTATTAGACCAACAGTGACACTGGCTGTTCCTCCATCCACCAATCTTAATCTTCCACAACCTGGCAGATACCTAGTAGACGTGATATCCGACTGAGCCGGTCTAATAAAAAAATATCACATCTACTCAAAGAACCTTGCCTGCCTATGTCCTTAGACCAGGGGTGGGCAATTATTTTGGGTGGAGGGCCGCTTACTGAGTTTGGAAAGCCACTGAGGGCTGCATGACAGGCAGGCAGGGGCAGATACATATTCATTTTCTAAATACTTCAGGGGCACTGCAGGCCAGATAGAATGGCATCCGGCCTGTGGGCCATATTTTGCCCACCCCTGCCTTAGACCAACACAGCTACAACCAACAACCCAGCATCACAGGTTGTGAAGCATGTATATTCTGTGGCAATGGGGACCCTATGAGCCCCTCACCTAGAAATGATGATCTCCTATCTGAAGTGCTTATTCAGAAAAACCTTTCAAAAGAAAGTTGTGGATGAGACTCTTTACCATCACCTGGTTTATTAGGGAAAAAAATGGATGAGGGGAGAGGGGGAATTGCCTTATTTCTCGTTGCTTGTGATTGTTTGGTAATAGTGATGGTTTAAAATGGTGAGAGAAGCTAAAAGATAGGATCTTTTCTTGGGTTTTTTTTTTCTCCCTCCTGCTCCCTCCCTGAGAAAGGCGGGGAGCAACACCTTCCCAAAGCCGCTGCTAAAAAAATGCAGCTGTTTCCTCTCCTTGGAGCGGGGCCAGGCTGGGTCTGAAAGCCGGCGGGGACCCGCAAGCCTGGCCCCATCCTGAGCAGGTCGGCCCCCGGCGGAGCCCGCCGCCCCGTGCTCAGCGCGCCGCAGGGGAAGCAGCGGGCAGTTTCTCTGTCTTGCGTGCCCAACTCCGGACTGGAATCAGAGCGCCTGCTAAATTTACACCGGGATCTTTTGGGAAATTGTTGCCATACTATCACCCCGCGTATTTCTTGTGCAATGCTCGCAGCACCGAAAGCAGACGACAGACGAATGAAGCCGCCGGAACGGGCTGTATAGGGGGGCTTAAAACAACGGGTTGGAAGCGAAGTGCCATTTCGGCACTGGAGGAAAGCGGGTGCTTTGCAAAGCAACGCCAGCACAAAGGGACAAGACCTGGTCCATTGGTCCCTCCCACGTGCCCTGCACTGCCAAGTGCAGAGCGGATCCCAGGCGCCGCTCCGCTGTGGACAACAAGGAGCCTTCCCCAGTCATTTCTTTTCGTGATAAACTTTAGGGCCTCGCCCTGCTTAGGGGAACCTCCCCCAGACTTCCCGGGAGGCTCTGCAGACCTGCACCCCCAGCATGGTGTCTGCAGGAGAGCTGGGTTTATTATAATAATTACAGCTAAACTCCTATCGGTTCTGCATAGTGGGAGTTTGTAGTGACCCAGGCATTGAAGAGGATCTAGGAATCAAACCTCCTGATCTTTTATTAGACCAGCTCGATATTTGCAAACAAATGATGGTCGTAGCTACCTGCAAGCTGTCGGGCGCACTCGCCCTCCTCCAGACATGGGAGACAGCAGGGGTTGCACAAGTCCTCCTAGGTCGAAATGCATATCCGTATTTCACAGGAGCGCTGAGCTGTCATCCTCATCTGGCAGTCGCGTTGGATCTGTCTGGAGATCCAGGCAGCCTCAGGTATTAAGAAGTGGTTTAGCAAAGTTAAGTTCCAGCTGTGATCGAGATCTGGCTCACCAAGGGCTGGATCCAGAGGGTCCAGGAGGCAAGGAGAAATGTTCAAATGCCTACAGCGGACTTTGGCTCCGGCCCGATTGCCCTGACACGTTTCCACTAAGTTGCACATCCTCTTCCGTCGATGCGGTAACAGACTGCAAAGGAACAACAGGATCCCTGAATCCCTCCGAAGAAGAGACAAGGGGAAGAAAAAGATGCACGGGCTCTAAGTGCAGCTAGGGCTCCTCAGCAAGACGTCGGAAACACTTAACATGCGAATGTCCCCCCTGGCTGAGCATTTCAGATGCACCCTAAAAACCTGGCAGCGAGACTGTAGGGTCGGATCCTGCCCCTGCTGAAACCCAGGGAGGGGTCCGCTGTCATTCTGCTCTCCTCTTGTGAGCCGCCCGAGTAAGTAAATGTGAGCAGAAAAAAGAGCAAGAGCTGCTGTACTAAGCACAAAGTCAGCTCCATCCTGGGCATCTCATCAGGCAAAGGCAGTCCTCATCTTGCCAGAGTGATGATGTGAAGCGATGCCCAGACCGTGAGATATTGCCCTTGTGAGCACCGAGTTTGATTTTCCTGACAGTGTTTTGGAGAAATATTATTTGATTTTTTTTTACAAAGACCCCTAGGCTTCAAAAACAACTTTCCTGATTAGGTGGTGTCCTAATGACGTCCGAATAATATATATTGCTGCTTGGACTGGGGCGGCAGGAGTGCTATCAAGCCCACCAAACCACAATGAGGCAAAAGCAGCTGGCCAAACCAGATGCTTTTTGTTCCTAGAGCAAATATAACAAAACACCAGCATTGATCACCATAGACAGGACAGCTTCCTGTCCCACGAAGCCATGGAAACGGCAGGCACAAAAAGACACTATTAGTTAGAGGATGGGGAAAAAAAGGTTTGTTGGGGTTTGATTTAAATGACACATATTTCAAAGGAAGAGCTTCAAGTATGGTGGTAAACTAGAAAAGAGCTAATCAGAGAAATACTTGTGATTTGTGGTAGATACAAAGCGAGAAATTGCCTCTCCATAGGCTAAAACTCCTTCTAAAACTTCCCGAATTTAGCCTATGGAGAGGCGATTTCTCACTTTGTATCGAATCACAAATATTTCTCATTAAATTAAAACAAAAATACTGATTGAAGAATGTTTCCAACTATTTTATTTGGTCTAATAAAAGATATCGGATTTACCCAAAGAACCTCGTCTGATTGACAGATGGTATTATTTGGAATGCCTTAATATTAGCAATGATTTTGCAATGATTTTGCAATGATATTGCTATTTGCAGAGCTGGAAAACGTTTGGTTCCAGGAGTTAATGTTATTTATCCACAGAAATGATCACCATTGTTGTTGTTGTTGTCTTTACCTCTGGTTCTGGAAATCTGATTTTAACTATGCAAACAGACCCAATGTATTTATACTTTTTATCATATGGGTAAAATTTCAGTGTGGCTAATAACATTTAACAAACTCTCTGTAACCCAAAATATATTTTTATTAAAATGCTGCCTTTTCAATCCACATCCTACTTAACTTTTTTTAAAAAACCTTTGTTTGGCATCTGGATGAGGGACATTCAGATTTGGACAGTTCATTAGGTCTGTGGCAAATGCCATCATAAATAAAAAAAAAAAGGAATGAAGCAGGTAAGTACTGGGAGCTCAGATGAAATAGAGAATGTCACAAAGTAAAACCATGCTACACTGCTAATGGGCTCCACTCTGAGTCTATGCTTCATGGGCCTCTGGCTCAGGTCTGAAGTTTAGCAAGATGGTTTAAGGAGCACCTCTCAAACCACCATTTGTTGGCAGAAAAGTCCTGAGGGACAATGAATCAAGGGGAAGGGGATGGGGGCACCTGCGAAGGCCAGGTCACAGGCACTGCAGTGGGTTGATAAAAGCATGGTCTAGTAGTAGCTCGCAGTGCTGATGCTGGTTTTACTGCCTACAGTCTAACCCTCCAGTCCTAGCTGAGGCAAACATTGACCAATTCCTGCAGACTTTTTTTCTGGCAATTTTCTTTCTTAGGGGGTTCACAAAGAGGTTTATCTGACAATGACCACAGAATCACACCAGAAGTCACCATCCTCCTATATGCTTTAATACACATCTTAGGTCTTTAAAAAGAAACAGAGAATGCAACAGGCCCCTTAGGCAAAGCCATCAGAAGTCAATGGAAAGACTCCATTTGGCTTTCCATCAGGCCCCAGATGAGGAAAAATTAAATCCCTGCCTTTTCTGGAGGGTATGAAATAAATATGGAATAAAACATGATTTCTGAGTGTGCACCAAGAGGAAGGATGCTGGGCACTGGGCTCCTCAGTTGTTGAATAAGGTTAATAGCTTTTTATTGCTTCCCAAGCATCACAGATTTTGAAGCATTTATATTCTGTAGTAATGGGGACCCTGTGAGCCCCTCATGTAGAAATTATGATCTCCTATCTGCAGTACTTATTCAGGACAACTTTCTTTCAAAAGGAAGATGTGAATTAGAATCTTTTCCATTAACTGGTTTATTAGTAGAAAAAAATGGATGGGGAGAATGTATTTCTCTTTGCTTTTCTTTGTTTATTTAGTAACAGTGATAGTTTAAAATGGTGAGAGGAGTAGCTAGAAGATGGAATATTTTCGTCTTTTTTCTTGCCTAGACATAGCTGAGGGTTTGTAGATTTTACTAATAAAAAAGCAAGCCCTAGCATACAGGAGCACAGTGGTTTACTTGACAGCTAGCTCAGACAGGTTTAGAGTGACAGCGGAGTGGGTAAAATAGCCTTGGTTTGTAGGGAGTAGAAAAGCTAGTAGTAGTGCCACATGTTGGATGTGTGTGCGTGCACCTTTGTGGAAGGGAAGGAGAAAATATGTGAAATCAGATGAACCATTCAACGCCTGTGTACTCTCCAAGATGTTAGTTACCATGAAGGCCACAGAATTGGGCCTGAAGTTGGCATCCTCATATGTGTTTTAACATAGGTCTTTAAAAAGAAACTGAGACTGCAACAGACTCCTCATCCAAAGCCCTCTGAAGTCAGTGGGAAGACTCCTATAATCTATTCTTTCAGGATTCACCAGGTTTTTAGCAGTGCCTGAGCAGGCTCAACTTTTCTCTGGTGAAAAGAAATGCAGATTCAGGAGCTGTTTTGTTCCCCTCACTGCTTTGGGAGAGAAACAGAAGCCAAATATAATTAGCAATAAAGTGTTTTTTAAATTATAAAGTGTTATTATAAAGTTGTTTTTTAAATAATACAGTTTTTTTTAGCAATAAAGTGGTTTTTAAATTATTTTTATCATTGCTCCCTTTTCCCTCACTGTCACAAGGTTTTCAGGTGGCTCTGATTGACAATGAACCTTCAGGTAACAAAATTTCAAAATCATTTTGAAAGGCCCAGGGGCCAAATTGACACACTCGGACTAGTTGGTGAAACTGAACTCAGTTCTGAAGTGCTCGGCTGCCTCTGATCAGGTTTGTTAAATGAAAATTTTAAAACAAAAATTTTCACACACACACACACACACACACACACACACACACACACACACACACATATATATCCCTGGTTATGAAGAAACCCTTGTAATGCTGAAGAAGGATCCGTTAATAGGAAACAAACCAGAAATTTCAAGATATTCATAGAAATTATTGACTAGAGGTCCAATCAGAGGACTTCCCTGACACAAGCTAAGCTATAGAAAAGCTATAGACAATCCAACGAAATAAACTCTATTTGGGTTTTATTTTGTGTTACCTTCTTAGCAAACCGGGAGGTTTTAAACAGCCAGCTGCTTTGAGGCTGTGAGTATAAAAGAGAGAGACTCAAAACTCGTGAAAGAGGCGGCATCATCTTTACTAGACCAACTAGATGTTTACAAGCAATGTATTTTATTAAATTAATCATTTAAATATTAATATTTATAAATAATCATAATATTCATTAATAGTTTTGAATTAATTATGTAAATAAAATAATTTGTTTGCAAATATCTAGCTGGTCTAATACAAGATATCACCTGAGTGTTGATTCCTTTTGCCTCTAGACCAATAGGGCTACAACCTGGACAGCGGACAGAGAAAGAAGGAATTGGATCATGAAGGCGGGTTATGATAGTACAACTTTCCCCGGGCTGGTCTGGAAGGACCCATGATCTGGCCCTTTCCAAAAAATGTTGGTGCCTGAGTTTTAATATGTGCTTTGACCTGGGTCTTCCTTTTGCATGAGATGAATTGCAAGGAGATGAATTCAGGTGTAAGTTTAGAGGATGGAACAAATCACTCCAGGGTCCAAATGTTTCCCCAGAGGCTCCAGAGCCAGCAGAGATGGGGTGGAGAGGAGGTCACCCTCCAAACTTTCAGCTGCAGCTGCACCTCTCTTGCAAGCTTGTTTATGCTGGAATGGGAGAAGGCATTGGCAAGGGGCAGCTGAGGGATGTCCAAGATATGAACACGTTTGTTAGCATGAGATAACATTGCCCTCACTTCTCTGCAGTCTGCTAAAGCTCTCAAACCGGTTATGGAAACGAAAGGACCGGGTTGCCAAACTCCGTCAGTGGACACCCAGTGAAAAGGGGGAGGGATGGCTCCAGCTCTCCGGATCGGATCTGGTCCATTCCGATGAGACAGATTCCCACTGGCTTCCCAAGAGTAGACACCCACGGACTTCAAAAACTGCAGGGGAGGCGTTTTGACAGGGCTGGGGGATACTGTCTTCGTTTGCAGCGAAGAAATAGTTGTGTAGACTAACGCTATTTCGTCAGGCTTGGGTCTTAAGCAGTGAAGCCGGAGTAGAGATGTTTTGTGGGACTGGGGTTTTCAGAGCAGAAGAGATGATGCTTTGGCACTGACCATTCCCAGACAGTCTCCTAGTCCCAGGTGGGGAGATAGACAAGGGACCTCTCAAGAAAGGCCTCCCGAGACATTGATCAGGGATTGGCACCATGGCTTTCAGGAGGGAAGCCCGTTGGGATATGCTCAAATTGACGCCTGTCCTAGTACAGGGGGGTTGCACTCCACTGACTCTCTGTGATGTCATTTAAAGATCTGAGTTAAACATTAATTTTCATTGCTGACCTAATCCCGAGGACTGCAACCCCCAAATTCGCCCCATCCCCTCACCCTAGCGTCCCAAGCAGGAGAAAATCAGCATTACCCTGGAAGAGGATGCTATTTCCACTGCCCCGTGCTGCTGTTAGTCAAACCCCAGGAGTCTACCGGGAAGCCAGGGCAGGAGCGACTTGAGCTCGTCTGCTGGCACGGAGGGGGAGTATGTCCCGTGTCCTGTGTCCCGTGTCCTGTGTCCCGGCCCCTGCCTCTTCTCCATGCCGATTCAAGCCAGCCGGGGGGGACAGCGGCTCCCCTGCAAAGAAGCAATGACTGTATGCCCACCAACACGGGTGTGAATCCACGTGAAATGGTGACATGTGCGTGGGAAAGGAGAGTGGAAATCTATTTTCGCTTCTATTTTTTTCTGTACGTGAAGACAAAACCTGCTATTGACTCCCCTGCTGCAGCGTCGGGGACACCCTTCCTTTTGCTAGAGGGTCCCTTGGACATGATGGGAGAAAAGAAAACCCCAAGCCCAAGACAAAGTGTGTTTCCCACGGAACTGGATTTCACTGCCCGCTGATCTCCTCTGATCGGTCTCTGGGGCCCCTTCTCTCTCACGCACACTCACACTCATACTCACTCAGACCCACACACACACTGCACTGGGAGCGTTTAGCATCGAGGTGGAAAGGGTGGTGCATGATTTGACTGTGCTCCAGGTTATAGAAACTCAGCCGAAAGTCTCACGCAAACGAAAAGGGTTCAGGAATACCTGGCCAGGACAATTCCCATCCTGGGGAGGGAGGGCAGAGCTGCTCCGCAGGAATTGTTAGGAAAATGTCGAGTTGCCATCAGTGGTCTGGAGAAGGGGCCTTTAATGGGCACCGGTCACTGGCTGGCACCTTTTTTGAGGGGTTATACATCGGAGGAGCCCAGGAAAATCTCAAACCCAGCTGAACAACAGAGAGCAGGTGCTGGGCAGATAGTGAGTGGTCCAAGGAAAAGGAAGATGAACTCCTCTGGCAATAAATACCTTCAGAAACAATCCCCAGAGGGTGGAGACTTTATACTTATTTAGCACATTATTTAGTGCACATTATTTAGCACAGCCTGTAGTTGAAACACATAATGATGGAGGGTCCCCTTTTCCCCCCGGAAACGTGTAGTCAGGTTTAGGATGGTGTTTTTTGCAATTATATAATTTTATATCTGGAAAAATGTGTCATCGGTTTCTGGAAACACTGTATCCATCTTCATGACGGCTTCAGGGACATGTCATTAAAAAGAGGGGAAAGGAAGGCATTTTTTTCCGCACAATTAGTAAGAAACCATGTGCTCGTAAGCGAAGTTTCCGCGGGAGAGACTCTCTGGTGTATGTTCACCTTGTCCCCGACCGCCCATCCCTCTGATGCTCAGGTCTGTAGGTCCGGGCTACCCGCGGTAAGGACAGGACGGTCAGAAGGGAGCAGCAATGTCTCCCCGCCCCGCACAGCGGTGCCAGCCCCCCCAGAGCCCACGGCCCCTGCGAGCTGAACTCCCCTCCCCGCCACTGCACTCCTCCACGTGGGGGTCCGGTACCTGGCTGCGGGGTGGCTGGTCCTTTCCCCGCCCGTCCCTGTCCCAGCGGCCTCTCACCTCCTCATCCCGGACTCCCTATAAGTGCAGGTAGCGGTGAACCGCAAGCCAGATCCAAAGCCAGATGAAGACCCCCGCTGGACCCCTTGATCCGGATTCCCGGTGGGCTCCCCTGAGCCTTCGCATCGCCTGTGGCTCCCAACACCGCACCGCGGAGCCCAGCAAACCCAGGCGGGGAGCCCGGTCGGGCGGAGCAGGGCTGGCCCGACACCGGCACCTGGCCTCACCCGGCACCGCGCCGCCCTGCTCCACCCGCGCTTCAGTCAAGTGCTTCCTCAGTGCCTCCAGCGTTCAAAACGTGAGAGCAGTTCGGGCTATATCTATATCTATATCTATAATCATGTATCCGTTTAATTAGGGCACGGTTAATTGCTACATCTATCTATCTATTTATCGATCGATCGATCGAGATAGATAGATAGACAGACAGATAGATTTAGCCATTAACACTGCCCTAACTAAGCGGAGGTCCGCCGCGCGGAGGGGATGTCCCGAGCGAGGGTGACAGCCCATGGGCTACACCTACATTCAAGCGCTCCCTCCTGGGGGCGATCAACGGCGTGTGCAAGTTTCTCCGCGGTGCAGTGGAAATCCGGGTGCCAAAAGGTCTCGTTTTTCCATGCGGGAAGGGGGCGGTAGGTGGCGCTAGACGGCAGGCTGCGAGCCGCGGGTCCCCGCCGGTGCTGGCGGTGGCTGGGGACGAGCCAAGGCCGGCGGGGGCTCCCGGCAGGGTGCAGTGGCCCTTCCTCCCGGGCCGGAAAGAGAGCTGCCAGGCCGGGAGCTCGGCCGCTGCCGGAGCCGGGCAGGTTGTGGGCTCCGGCGTGTCCGGGCGGTCCCAGCCACGCGCGACCGAGCCCCGGGCACTGCCCTCGGGGGTGTCCCACCGCGCAGCAAGCCGGGTCCCCGCGTCGTCATTACCCTGCGGCGGCTCGCTTCTCCAGTGAAACGTCGCTTCCTTTTGGTTTACCGGTGCTTGGGATTTCCATATAACCACCTTCTTTGCCCCCAGGTCCTAAGGTAATCAAATATTGTACGTAAGGGAAATAAATCAAATACTGTAATCAAATCTTCAAGCAGTGGATAAAAAGGTAGCAGCGCAGCTGGTTCAGAAAGCCAATCAAACCTTACTTACCTGGTTCGCCCTGCAAAATAAAAGCAAACTCTTTAAAAAAAATAAATGCTGCCAATTGTTTTCTAAATAGCACGAGGATATCTATCTATCTATCTATCTATCTATCTATCTATAAAGAGAGAGATTATATGTATGCATGTATATCTATGTGTATATATGTGTGTGTGTGCATACACACACATTTACACACATATATACATATGCATGTATATGCACACACACACACACACACACACATATGCAGACATCTGTATGTGAAACCAGCGTCGCTCAGACAAGCCAATAATAAGCACAAAGAAAGGCTGGCACAGAGAGAAAGATACATTGGCTATATATATATATATATGTGTGTGTGTGTGTGTGTGTGTGTGTGTGTGTGTGTGTGTGCGCGCGCGCGCGCGCCAATTTCTCTCTTTTTCTCTGCCAACGATACTGGTTTCCCCAAGGAGTTCAGGGAGAAATCTCGGTGCACATTGCTGTGTCAGACAGTATCGAAAAGTCCACGGCGATCGGTTTCACTGACTTCTGTGCTTAAAAAAAAGCAGTTTTTGGTTCTTACAGAAGCAGACGGGGTAGCGAGCAGCTCTGTCTGTAGCTGCACAACTAAAGCTATTTCTGTGCCTGAGCGACTCCGCTTAAACAAAGAAGACCTCCCTAGCCGTTTTGCAGGTACAGCTTAAATAACTATCCGCGTTAAGAGACACAAAACCATGTTACACGGAAAACAACCTTCGTCCAAAGCCTACTAATGGTCACACGATTAATTAGGTTACTTAATCCTAATAACCTCGCTAGCATCAGTCTCAATGACCCAGCCCATTAAAACACGGCCAGCGAAACCCTATAAAACAGGCAAGGGGGATGTCCAACATATGAACACATTGATTAGCACGAGGGCTCTGAGATAACATTACTCTCGCTCTTCTGCTGTCTGCTAAAGCCCTGAAGCAGATTATGGGAATGAAAGGACTGGGTTGCCAAACACCTCCATCGGTGAAAAGAGCGGAGGGAGGACTCCAGGACCATCTCAGT